TCCTCAGACTCAAGAATCCTAGAGTAGCTTGCCAGGAAACTTTAACCAACTCCACAGGAAACCATACAAACCAGCTTGAGACCAATCTTCCCTTGTGTCCCAGTGATACCTTGTGCTCCTCTATTATTGACATGCAAATATTTATCCTCCTTCCTTTGTGATCGTGTGCAGAGCAGTGGAGAACACAGCCAGGGCTGAGAGGAGTCAGGTCTTCGTAGAACACAGCTGCTGATTCCTGCTGTCCTGTCTGCACCCAGCTCACAGTAGAGCCTCCATGAGCAACTGCAGGACGAATGAAGGAACTGTACCTTGAAAGTTTCGTGAGCCTGGATTTTACTAGATTTTAGTCCTCCTTGCCTGTAGATCAAAATCCTAGAAATCACTGCTTTGGCCTGATTAGAAACCTTTCCCAGCAGAACTGTATGATTTCCCAAATCAGAAATGATCAATGATTGAGGAGACCGAGGCACATAGCACCCTGATCTAATTATTACACTATGTGTGTGTGTGGATGTATGGATAAGATTATAATACTACACCCCACAAAGACTTACAAATATTATGTCACAATTAAAAAAAAGAGGGAAGCAGAGACAGGAGGATGGTGATGGGGGCTAGCCCGGATGAATGTTCTCTCAAGAAACAAACCACATGGTGATGCATATCCATCATCCACACTGTGCGGCTGTGCGGGAGGCCTGGCATAAGGATTTGGATTTTTAAGAGGATTCCATTCAAAATTAACTCAGAAATAATTCTGAAAGTATAATATTTTTTCATGAAAAAAATATAGCGTTTCTTTGTTTCTGTTTCAGGTGGGACTGAAACAGAATTAAGATAAATGAAGCATGGGGATTCGATTCTTTACCTAGAGATAAGAGAGCATTTGTGAGTTCTGGGAGACACTACCCTGAGCGGCGTCAGGCATTGGAGGTGGGCACCAGCTGTCACTGGGCCATTCATTCACTGCTGTCTCCCGCCCCATTCTAATATCTGTGGCTCCTCCCCAGAGCTGCTACACTGATGTGACATAGCACCATACTTTTTCAAACTCCCAGGTAATTCTGAAAGGCACACAGGGAAGTTGTGTGGCTATGAACACAGGGCCTCTCATTTTGGGAGATTCAAACCCTAAAAGTGGCGTAAGACATTTGAATTCAAGTTCAAGTTCAAAGCCATCATCATTTCATTTCTTTCTGCCTTAAGACATCTTATTTCCTCATGTAAGCCTCGCAAGCTCACAAAAAGACCATTCTGTTACCCCACACCTCAGATAAGTACACACAGGTTTAGAAGAAGCAAATGATTGTCTCAAAGGATGGCTGAGGTGCTAAGGCCTGTGAAGTTAATATACCAAGTAATTACATGTGCCATGCAGGGCAGTTACTTAACCTGTGTTAAGGCCAAGTTGGTTATGTAGAAGACAGATGCCAACACAGGAAGGGGGAGGGGAGGGAAGGGGGGAGGAGCATGGCAGTGAACAGCTCTGGTCTCCAAAGAAAGGGCCTTGTCTTTGCTATCAGATCTTCATAAATCCTGTGGACATAAAACTCCTTCTGACTCGCCTTCTTACCACATTGTTTACAAGAGGACTAAAATCAGATGAGCATACCGTGTTCTAGAAGGGTGTAGAATGGTCTGATGGAAGAGAGATCTGTGTGCATCCTTCGTTCTATCTTGCTGATAATCCCGCTTGGGCTTATACTCTGGAGTGGGTCATTAAGATCCCAGATTGCACATTTTACAATGTCAGAACAATTTGGTGCTCCCTTTAAAATATGTTTTAAACCTTTACACAAGGCCAGGCACTGGTGCCTCAGTCCAGTCATCCTAGTTACTCAGGATGCTGAGATCGTAGGATCATGGTTCAAAGCCAGCCCAGGTAAGAAAGTCTGTGAGACTCTTACCTCCAATGAACCACCTGAAAACCAGAAGTGGCGCTGTGGCTCCAAGTGGTAGAGCACTCACCTTGAGCAAAAGAGCTCAGAGACACAGCCCAGGCCCTGAATTCAAGCCCCACTACCACTAAAACAAAACAAAACAAAAACCTTAACACAACAGATTGTTCCTCTCTCTCAAAATCTGGCAACCGGTTATCTTTGAAAACTTTTATTCATTTTTTTTAATATAGAGATGTGACCCATCCAACAATACGGTGAGGCTTCTGGGTAAGCTGTAGTCCCAGATGCCTCCCCAGCCCTCTCCAGCCCCTCCTGGACGTCCTGGGCACGCCTTCTTCAGCAGAACGCGCTCCAGTTCACTCTCCCTGCCAAGAGCTCCATTGAAAAGGGCAAGAACATGCAAGAAATGTATAGATCTATTTCTAACTTTTTAAAGTGATTTTTTTTTGGACCACAACTTGGATCAACTGTACTATTTTAAAGGAACTCCACTATGGAATCTTTGATCTCAAAAAGACTTGGTAGGCCCAGTTTGCTCATTTGTCAGGTGAAGAAACCAAGCCCTGGGAGCTCCAGTGCTTTCTTCAAAGCTATGCAGTGGATGGCAGAGTCGGGACTGGCCTACTTCCGGCCTTACTGATGGGGATGGGAAACAGTAATTCTGGGGAAAGACTATCCTCCGTCTCTGCTTCCCTCATTCTGGACATAAGAGCCAGCCAAAAGTCCCCCATAAAGATCAGCTCGTTTTATCAATATAGCATCACTTGGTGCTTTCCAAGGGAAGCCAGAACTGAACAAGGAAGAGCAGTCGAGCAGCAGATGCTCTGGGCGGTGGGCACATTAGCCACCAAGTAGTTCATTCCTTCTACATGTTAATATTCAAAAACCAATCTTCATAATCCTATATGCTCAAATATAACAGGATTGGTGTTAAGGTCTCTTGGCAACTTGATTGTGTGAGTAATATTTCCTCATATTTTAGTTTCTTAGGCATTTTCAGATGCACCTGCTTATTTCACATTTAATATTACCAGGATACTGAGAGCACTGTTTCAGGCTTCCACAGCTACATAACAGCAGCACTGGATTGGACAGAGTTTCTTCAACATTTCCCAATCTAAGACGCTTACAGTACTTCATGGGCATTATCTGTATCACACTGGTGTGAGTTCTACTCCTCTTATCCACCATGGCAGAAACATCTTCCAAAAGAAGACCCTGATCTAGGCACTCACTCGGCACCATCTAAAGAGGGCCACCAGTGAATGAAAGTCTAGCTGCTTCTTTCCCTTTTCCTATTACCAGTGAGTGACCTAGTATCGTAAGAGGAGGGAATATGCTTTGGAGTCAGTAGACCTAGAGCTCCATCCAAGTTCTTTAGAAAATATGCCAAGATGACATAGACCAAGTCCAAAACCCACCCTGGGCATGCATAATCTATCATTCGTTGGGCCCTTCCTAAATTCCTTTCCATGATCTTCCAGCATCCAAGCCAAAACATACAAACCTCTTGTGTCACTGAATGCATCTTTATGCTTTCATACCTCTGCACATGATGCTCTATAAGCCTGGGCCACCTTCCCTGCCTCTGAGCTGAGAAAATCCAAAGTGCTTCAGCCAGACCCACCCCAGTACTCTCTCCATTTGCAGAGATTTCCTTGGCCATCCAGGGGAAGACTTAAGATCTGTTACATTTTGTCTTATGTGCATCTGTGCTTACAAAACCCTTTGGTAACATCAGTCGTATAGGGAGGCAGGAAGCATTCTGTCCTTAGTTTTAGAAGCACCTTCAGGGAGGGGACTAGGTCTCATTGGACACACAACTTTCCATAAACAGTGGCTGGGTAGCTAGAATATGGTTTTGACAGCATCAAGAATTGCCATAAGGTTCAGTGGGATTGGATACACTCTCAGGTTAGGAAATGGAATGTCTGCATCCAGCGCTTCTTGCAAATAGGTGATCTTGGGTATGTAATTTAACCACCCTGGGCCTCATTCTCTAACTGTGAAACCCACTCTCCACCCTGTTACACTCATTCAGGAGCCCCAGGAATCTGACAGACATAAACCACATCAACAGCTCCTCACTCCAGGCTTCCTGATGAATTTGGCCAGTGGGGACAACAGCAGGAGGCCCAGGCTGGGGAGGATCATGAGGTGGAGATGACCACTCTGTTCACCCCAGCCCCTTCCCCGCAGCTCCATCAACTACTCCATCACAGCTCCTCTGCTAGCCAGTCAGCCCTGTCTGTGGGTGCCAGGATGGAAAGTGGGGAAAGAGACTCAGGCTGGGTCAGGCTAATAAATGAGCAAGCACTCAGTCCTCTGAGCCCTCCTGAATACAACAGCATTCTTTTCCTGCTACCCCCATGTACCTCACCGACCTTTGTGGATTCCCTCCATGCGGCCCATGCCTTATTACAGTGTTCTCAAGTGACCCAATTCATAGATGCCATCTGTTTCTTGCTAGACCCCTTCTTGATACAATGGGAAAAAATCATCTGTTCCTCCCAGGGTATTTGAGTAGATTAAATGTGATCATTGATGTAACACATTTATTGGATACTCCCAGGGTCTCTGCTGTTAATTTATATGGTAAATGGAACTAATGATGTCTCCTTTGTGGGTGAACACAGAACTCCAAGTGCTGTGGTCTGAGCAAATGGTATAGAAATGAAACTTCCAGTAAGTATTTCATGGGAGAGTCATGCTTAGAAATGAGAAGCATCCCTCCTCCTCCATGCATTGGCAAGCCTGTGAACTCTTCCGGAGCAGAGCCAACGAAGCCTGGGCTAATGTGCCCCACACCCAAGGGAAACACACAATTGTACACCGGGGAAAAGCAAGCACGGTGCATGTTTGCTCAGCTCCCCAGGGCAGATGGAATGAATGCTGACAGAAGGAGGCCAGCATGTCAGGGGAAAAAAATCCCCTCCTCTACCCCGTTCCAGAAATAAACCAATTATTGGCCTGACCTGGACCGCTTCTCCCTAAGCCAGCACCTGCATCCAATTTTAACAAGACGCACTAGGAGTATGTGCAACAGAATTAAAACATGATGCGGAAGATTCACTGAAGACTTTGCTTTTGTTTCCACAGGCTGAGTTGAAGATCCCTCTTATTTCCCGGATGCCAAGAACTATGAACAGTCCGTAAGTACGGCTGCCTTATTGTGATCCGCAACTCCCAGAATCCAGTGGGGTCAGGAGTTAGGGCCTGGAGGATGTATTCATAAAGGTGTCACTGTGCCACAGTAGAAAGGAATACCCTCGAAGGCTGGGTTTGAGATGTGGACTTCAGTCTTAGTAATGGCATTTTTTAACGGACAGGGCAGTTGTTCTGACCTAGGATGAGTGTTCAGCATAAGCGGGGATGGAAGGCCTCAGCACTAGCACAACAAAGGGCACCCAGAAATACCAAAGGTCATGGCACATCCAGATGTATGATGGTGTAAGATAAATCCAGCGGTTCTTCGGTGTGTTCCCACAGGAGAAAACTCAAATCCAGCTTTCTCTCTTAGGACACCCAGGATGAGTGAGGTGATTGGGTTGGGGTAACAAAGGCTTATCTGATTCAAAAAAAAATGTCTAATGCCTATAATACAGAAAAAAAAATAGCCAGCCTCAAACGAATATTTATCATGCAATAAGAAAAAAAAAAGGATCTTGGTTCAAGAAAATCTAGCCTGCTGTTTCTAAATGTTGCTTATCTAGTTATGTGCTTGGTTTGTTATTTTGTCACATGGTTAGATACAATCATTACTCTGGAGCACAAGGGAAAGCAGGGTGATTGTGCAGAACGGAGAGCTGTGAGTGTCAGAGTCAGACAGGCATCTTCCCGCCCTCCCTCCATCAACTCACAGCTGTGCGATCCGAGGATACTGCCCAATCCTGTGGGTATCTGAGAGGTTACCCGGCACTCTAGAAAGCAAGATCTGGGCTGGAGAAGGAAAAGCCGAATCGCCCATCACACCATCCCACAGATGACATCAGGGTCAAGGCTGGGCAACTCTATCTAGGGTGCGGCCTACAGGGTGAGGAAACCAGAGCTTCTGCCCTTCCTTCTACTTTCCGTGAAAAAGGTAGCGGGAGCTCCTATACAGATTCCTCACCTGAACCAGAATCCAAGACTGAGAGCATTTCTCAGAAGATAGGTGTGGTGAGGCCTTTGCTCTGTGGCCATTACAGCAGGTCTGGATACCAGCATCCCCGGCTTCTCTGACCATCGCCTTCCTTGTTCAATTGGCTTATCTGGGATGGGCTAGAAGGTGATGAGGGAGGTCAAGTTCAAGCTCGAGCCAGTGTTCCTTCCAGGATCCCAGCTCTGCGGAGAATGGAGACAGGGCACTGAGGGGAGGCCAGGCTGCTATGAGAGTGAACTGCTTATCTGTGAATGCATTCTCGGGTCTAAAGTTATGATCAGGGGGCTGGGAAGGTGGCTCAGTGGTAAAGCGCTTACCTTGCATGCATGAGGCCCTGGGTTTGATTCCTCAACACCACATAAGCAAAAAGAAAAAAGACGGAAGTGGCGCTGTGGCTCAAGTGGTAGAGCACTAGCCTTGAGCTGAAGAGCTGAAGGACAGCGCCCACACACCCAGAGTTCAGGCCCCACGAATGGACCCCCCAAAAAAGAAAAGAAAGGTGTGTTCATGTCGTGGGGCTGTTGGTACAAACTACCTACCACGTGCATAGTTTACCACAACAGAAACTTCTCTGCATTCTGGAGGCTGGCAATGCAAACCAAGAACATTAGCAGCGCCGTGTTCTCTCCCAAAGCTCTAGGGAAGGATGCTTCCGGCTGTGCCAGCTTCTGGTAGTTCCTTCTAGCCAGTTCCTGCTCCAGGAACTCTGTCTTGAGGCTGTATCACTTGTGTCTCTGCCACTGTGTGGATGTGACATGACCTTTTCCTCTTCTGTCTCTTGTAAGGATACTTGATGTCTTTATAAAAGCACACACGGTCCTAGAATTCACCTGGATGTATCCCAGCTAATCCAGAATGATTTCACTTCAAAATCCTTCATTATGTCTGCAAAGACCCTTGTTTTCAAATTAGGGCACGTTTTCAAGTACCAGGAACTTGACTGAAGATGTATTTTAGGACCACCATGGAATCTATTCCAGGGACTTCATTCCCTGGTTGGGGGTAGTGTAAGCTTGCTTTTGAGATTCCTAAAGCTCTGACCTTCCATCTGGCTTAGATGTTTGGGACCCTTGTCCCTTTGGTTTCTGCTTCTGTCTTTCATTGATTTCAGTTTCCCTGTGGAACTGAGAGAGGAGGTCTTCTCTTCCGGGCAAGGACTTTAGTGCTATTTAGTTTTAGCCAGGGAATGGTTCTCCGCAGCCGCTTCTTTTCAAGCTTTCCAACGTGTAGCTGAGAGATTGCAGCTGAGGTTATCCAACCTCAGATGTGAAGTTGGTAATGCATTAACCAAAACAAAACAAAAACCCAAACCACCATCACCTCCTATGAGCTAGTTTTCATCTTTTCAGAAGAGCCAAAGTGGAGCCTTTGTAGATCTCACTTAGCAACCCTAGGCCCTCACCATGCTCAATTTCACTTCTTTCCCTTTTCCTCCTTCCCCATCAATCCCAACTTGGTCCCCCTTTCCTTTCATGGAGCTCAGATCAGCCATTCCGCTGGGATTGTCCCTGGCCTGTCCCAACCTGGAAAGGGAACATTAACGTGGAAACTCCCTGCAGCACACACAGGCTGCAGTGCCACCACCCACGTGGAAACCTGGCCACCCTCACACACACGGCATCACTCTCAACCATCATAGTTTATCCAGCGTCTCCTAATTTACAGGATTTTGTCACCCTAAGTGAAGTCTGTGTATCAATCGTGGCATTTACCCGGGAGCTTGTTAAAAGCAAAATCCCACAAGCACAGCCCAAACGCAGACACCCTGGATCAGATTCTGCACTTTTGCAAACGCCAAAGCACTGGACCAGAACAACAATGCCCAGTACCATTTCCCTCCCAGTAGGCTGGAGAGTAACAGCAGTAGTTCTAAAACCAGAAGGCAGGTTGCCAAGACCTACAGAGTATGTTTGTATGTATGTGTGTGTGTGTGTGTGTGTGTGTGTGCGTGCGTGCGTGCGTGTGTGCGTGCGTGCGTGCGTGTGCGTGTGTGTGTGTGCGTGTGCGTGCGTGCACACACATGCACGCACGTGTTTCGTTGCCATATTGGGACTCCCACTTTTCTCAAGGAAAAAAGAAATTATTAACTCGGTTCTCGGCAGCAGACTGTAAACCGGACACAACATTAGAATCATTGAGGAAGCTCTAGCCAGCAAGCCATCCAGTGTTCTTCCCCAGGCCAAAGCGATCAGAGCACTGTGTATTTTTAATACTTGGCTGAGTCTAGCATGAAGCCAGGGTTGAAGAATGGCATCTTATAATTCCCTAAGCTGGAATTTCTTAATTTCTTGCAGTTCCCACAGCGAGAATTTTAGACCGCCTTTGTAACTGTGACTAATTCCTTGCTGTCTTTGTCTGCTTGAGCTGCTGAAACAAAATGCCTTAGACTGGGTGACTCACACACAAAAGAAATTTATTTTCCCACCATTCTGAGCCTGAGACCTCCAAGCACAAGGTGCTGGCAGACGTCCTGTCTGCTGACGGCCTGCGTCATGACTAGTACATGGAGGACTGCCTGCTGTATCCCCTCATTGAAAAGGCAAGAGGGTTCCCCGGGGCCTCTCTTATGAGGTCACAAATGCTATTCCCGCAAGTTCCGACCCCTATGATCTAGTCAGCTTCCAGCCACCAATTTCATACCATCACTCTGGTGGCTAAGGTTTAACGTGATATCTGTGTGTGTGTGTGTGTGTGTGTGTGTGTGTGTGTGTGTGTGTGTGTGTGTGTGTGCTGGTCCTGGGGCTTGAACTCAGGGCCTGGGTGCTATCCCTGAGTACTTTTACCCAAAGCTAGTGCTCTACCACTGAGCCATAGCTCTACTTCAGCTTTTTGGTGGTTAATTAATTGTAGAGATGAATCTCACAGACTTTCCAATCAGGGCTGGCTTTGAACTACAATCCTCATATCTCCAGCATGGGTTTATTGTGGTATTTCTTATTAGGCACTTTTACAATGAATAAATCAACAAATAAAAATTATGATTCAGGAATAGCTATGATATATGTATAAATATGTTTATACAAACCTGTAGATACATACAGGTATGAACAACATAAGCATGGGTACTCAGGTATGAATATGCAAACAGTACATGTGTTTGTACACATCTTCCATGTAATTGTATCCGTGCTGTCAAAAGTATTTGTTCACTGAGTATACATGATTTCTGCACTGAGCTAGGGGCCTCATTTATAAAGATGAGAATTAGTTCAGGCCTTCAGAGAATATTAGCCATATGTGCACCAGATCCTTCTAGTATTATGAAGAAAATGGCAGGAAAACTTTATGAGAACTCAGAAGGGGCTGGGTGTCATGCTTCTAAATTGCTTCTGAAATTAGCAGGCTATTTTAAATTGGTTGTCTGTGTAACAAACTCACAGCTTCCCTAAGAATCTATTAAACAGCAAAAAAAAAAAAAAAAAAAGCACCTCATTCCTTGAAGCACATGGGCAGAGAGATGAGGGTGGAGGAATCCGGAGGTTGGGTTTGCAGTATACCTGCTCCACTGTGGACAGGACTGAGAAGAACCTAGCTGCTGTGGTTCTGAGTGTTCAGGAAGAGGTAGGCTTTCCAGAGCAACTGATCCTGGAGCTTTTCTAGTAAGCCATACCCTACTAGACCAGGATCCTCTGGGCACTCAAAGGGCATGCTAGGAAAGATCAGCACCCCAAGTGTCCACTTTAAATTACACTAAAAACATACCAAAGCGAGCTAGTCCTAATGGAAATAAGAAAAAATTGAAAACTCACAATTATCCCAGCACCAAGAAGCAATCAGTTCTCCTCCACACTTGCTATCCTGTATATGGAATGCTTTTTAAATTTTTTAAACTATTAACACATACTCTCTCCAATAATCTTATTAAAATCTACCATTTTATGTTATAAACATTGGCCCAGACAGTTAGGTTTTCCCCAGATCCATAGTGTTATAATTTTACTACTTAAATAAGATTGACAACTCCCTACACTGTAATTGCAAGTTCAAAGGGCTCTGAAATACTGAAAGGCT